CCACACAACTTTAAAACTGTTAAAAAAAAATTTTTATTTAGAAGTACATAGCCAGAGGGTAGCTCATTGGATATTGAAGTTACAAGATAAACCACTCAGGATAGAAATCAGTAAAATATTATTCCTGATTTGATAGAAATCAAGATTTTATGTTGATGGGAAGGATTACATCACAAGGTTATGCCATATATGACGATCCAACAAAAGAAATGCAAAGATACAGATTGCCAGACAATGTGTCTGTTCAGAGTGCTGAGTTAGAGGCTGTAAGGAAAGCTCTAGAAATAGGAGCATATGACCCAGTGAATATAATCAGTGACAGCAGCTATGTAGTTAAAGCATTAACACTTCACCTCCCATATGGAGAAAAAGGAATGGTAGGTTCTCAGGATAAAGCTTTAAAACATGCAGGTATCCTGAAAGAACTGTTAACTATGAAGAGAGAAAAAAGGGTTTAACTTGTTGTGAAACAGACTTGTAGATCAGGAATCAAAGGAAGCTGCTTTTATAGGAGCTGCAATACTTGGAAAATGTAATGATTGCAACTGTTAGCAAAAGACAAATAACTAATACCCTATAATATCTGAAACAGAATCAAAGGATGTAGCTTTTGGTGTAGAAACAATGGACCTAGATACTGAAAATGGCTTGTACGAGGTTAAACATAATGAAACACAAACATTTGTACCTAGTGATTTATTGCAGGAGTGTCTCATATGTGCTCAATTTAATCCAAGACCTAAATACTAGAAACCAAAATTGCAGAGAGTACCTTTGGTAAAAGACCATGGAACTCTATACAATTTAATTTACAGTATAATCTAAATTGAAAAAAAATAAAGTAAAAATGCTTGAAGATAAACAAGGTAATTGGCTGACATATTTACCAGTAGTATTAATGTATATTTGTGCAAATCCAAAGTCAAAAACTCAAGTGTCACCTCAAGTTAATGACAGGTAGAACTATGTAATCACCTTCCCCAGGGCCGGACTGGGGAAAAAATTAGGCCCGGGCATTTTTCAATCAGAGCGGCCCCCTAAGAAGGGGGCGGGGCCAGAGAGGGTGTGTTTTGTCATCACTAATGACAAGCACGCCCCCTCTCAAAGTGAGCATGTTGGTTCAATGCACAGAGCCCTGCTGAAGAGCTCTGGCATTAGAAAAAGGCCCTGAATTTGTTCTGCGCAGCGCAAGCAAATTTAATAACATGCTTGCGCTGTGTTTGCTTTTAAATTGTCTCTGGTGTCTCAACAAGTGGGATACCAGAGGACAAAAGGGCCAGGAAAGTGTATGGTGCATGTGTTTGGAGCCTGCTTGTGGGATTGCGTGTGTGTAGAGTGTGGTGTGGTATTGTGTAAATAGGTCAATTTCATATGTGTTTGTGGTGTAATATGTGTGGCTAGGGGCTGTAGAGAGTGTGTGTATAGGTGGCATAGTGTTATAGGGGATGTAGCGAGTGTGTGCATACGGGCTGTAGTGTGTGTGTATAGGTGATGTAGTGTGTGTAGGGGTTGTAGAGAGGGTGTGTTTAGAGAAAGTTGTATGTGTTTGCTGACAAGGAATATAGTGTGTGTGTAGGTGGTGCAGTGTGTGTGTAGGAGATCTAGTGTGTAAAGGACCCAGAGTGTGTATAGGAGATTGTGTGTGTGTGTGTGTGTGTGTGTGTATAGAGGATTAAGAGTGCATATAAGGTAAGGGATCTAGCGTGTATCTGGAGCGTAATGTATGTAGTGCTGTAGTGTGTGTGTGTGTGTGTGTGTATATATATATATACATACATATATATATTTGGACGTATTGTATGTGTGAGGGGCGCAGTGTGTGTGTATGTAAGAGGGGTGCTGTGTGTGAGGGTGTTTTTATCTGCCGTCACATTCTAATTTTCTTTGTCTGTTAACTCACTGAGGGTTATTTTATATATTATATATATATATATATATATCTGTAAATATATATATATATATTATATATATATATATATATATATATATATGTGTGTGTGTGTGTGAGCGAGGGTGCTGTGTGTGAGCGAGGGTGCTGTGTGTGAGTGAGGGTGCTGTGTGCCTGAGTACGCTGTGTGTGTCTGGGTGCGCTGTGTGTGTCTGGGTGCGCTGTGTGTCTGGGGGTGCTGTGTGTGTCTGGGGGTGATGTGTGTGTCTGGGGGTGCTGTGTGTGTCTGGGGGTGCTGTGTGTGTCTGGGGGTGCTGTGTGTCTGGGGGTGATGTGTGTGTCTGGGGGTGCTGTGTGTGTCTGGGGGTGCTGTGTGTGTGTCTGGGGGTGATGTGTGTGATTTTTTTTAATTTAATTTTTTTTTTTTTTTATTAATAATAATTTTAAAAAAAAGTTATATCCCCCCCCTCCCTTCTTACCTTTAGCCTGGGAGGGGGGGGCCGTTTTGCCTGGGACGGGGGGGGAGCCGTTCTGCCATGGGAGAGCCATGCTGCCTGATCCCTGGTGGTCCTAGTGGTGAGCGTGAACTCTAGCCTGTAGGCTAGAGTTCACTCTCGCGAGATCTGAGCGTTGCCGCGTAACCGTAACGCTCAGAATCCCGCGAGAGGACCCGGCGGAGCTGCTGGATAGAGCTCCGCCGGTCCTCTCCTCCCTCCCTCAAACCCCAGCAAGCGGCCGCCTGGAAGTGTCTCTGGGCCGGTAAAGGGAGATCTTTGATCTCCCCACCGGCCCATGGAGGCACACAGCGGGGCCGGCGCTCGGGTAGCGCTGGCCCTGCAGGAGCCGGCCGGGGAGATCCTGTGATCTCCCCTGCCGGCCTCGGCCCCACGGCCATCGCGGCCCACCGGGCATTTGCCCGGTATGCCCGATGGCCAGTCCGGGCCTGTTGTGATATTACCCAGCTAGTACTCAGTGGCAGTGAGAAAATATTGTGACACCTTTGAAAATGTACTACTTGGAAAAAAATATGGTCCAAGACCAGTGAGCGTAAAATAAGCCTTTTATCATGTCCCAGGTTAATGAAGGTCAGTGTCTATATTCTACTCCCCAGGGATGTCTCAGCTCATTATTTCTCCTGTCTCCAAGCATCTAAGTGGCTTCAAGGGCAAACTGGAAAGGTCTCGTCTACATTTTTCTTTGCATCCATAATAACACAAGGACATCTTACTTGACATTGTGTATGTAAAGACATTAGGTATTTCTTGTGATTTTACATGTAATCAATATTCCATAGTTTTATGTGATTGGAAACTGTGCCTTTGTTAAGAATAAAGACACGAGATATAGATCGAAAGATTTTTTGTCAATCTTTCTTTTATTGAGGCATTTGTTAAATGGGATACAGAACAGAGAGAAGGGGATATACGTTTGTCATACAGATTGGGATCACGCTAACACAATGCATCATCTCCTATGAGTGACTGCCTCCTTTTAAGCATTCTATAATAATACTA